CATAGGTACAGACGTTGGTATGGACGTATGAATGTGCTTCAGATATGGGTCAAGATGCTGATAGAGAAATCAGTACATGGATTATTTGTGGATCAGTGGAGCCAGCAGGCTCATTAATGCTTGGGAGGGGATTGTTGAGAAATGTGTGGTACCTGTCTTGATCACATATGCAGTTTGGTGCATTCTGAGCATTCTTTGAGCACAGTTTGTCTGTTACCCATATTTCTCAATTCTGGCTGACAGAATCCAACAGCTCATTCCTCTGGTTGTTTATACTAGGCAGACCAAAGATTGTAATCAAGTAGGCCAAACTTATAAATCCAAAAAACACCCACTGGTGGATGGAATTGCGTGATTGGGCAACACATGCTGAATAACACTGAGTGCACTAAAAGAATCATAGAATTCCTACCGTGTGGAAGCAGGCCATTCAGCCCATCGTGTCCACAAAGACTGTCAAAAAACAAAGAAAATTACAGTACAGGAACAGGCCCTTCGGCCCTCCAAGTCTGCACTGACATGCTGCCTGTCACAACTAAAACCCCTTACCCTTCCGGGGACCATATCCCTCTATTCCCATCCTATTCATATTTTTGTCAAGACACCCTTTAAAAGTCACTACAGTATCTGCTTCCACTACCTCCCCTGGCAGCGAGTTCCAGGCACCCACCACTCTCTGTGTAAAAAACTTGCCTTGTACATCACCTTTAAACCTTGCCCCTCATACCTTAAACCCATGGCCCCTGGTAACTGACTCTTCCACCCTGGGAAAAAGCTTCTGACTGTCCAGTCTGTCCATGCCCTTCATAATCTTGTAGACCTCTATCAGGTCCCCCCTCAACTTCTGTCGTTTCAGTGAGAACAACCCAAGTTTCTCCAACCTCTCCTCATAGCTAATGCCCTCCATACCAGGCACATCCTGGTAAATCTTTTCTGCACCCTCTCCAAAGCCACCACATCCTTCTGGTAGTGTGGCGACCAGAATTGAACACAATGTTCCAAATGCAGCCTAACTAAGGTTCTATAAAGCTGCAACATTACCTGCCAATTTTTAAACTCAATGCCCCGGCTGATGAAGGCAAGCATGCCATATGCCTTGTTGACTGCCTTCTCCAACTGCATTGCCACTTTCAGTGACCTGTACACCCAGATCCTTTTGCCTATCAGTACTCTTTAGGGTTCTGTCATTTACTGTATATTTTCCATCTGGATTAGCCCTTCCAAAATGCATTACCTCATATTTTTCCGGATTAAACTCCATCTGCCATCTCTCTGCCCAAGTCACCAACCGATCTATATCCAACTGTATCCTTTGACGGTCCTCATCGCTATCCGCAATTCCACCAACCCTTGAGTCATCAGCAAACTTACTAATCAGACCAGTTATATTCTCCTTTAAGTCATTTATATATATTCCAAACAGCAAAGGTCCCAACACTGATCCCTGAGGAACGCCACTAGTCACAGCCCTCCATTCAGAAATGCACCCTTCCACTGCTACCATCTGTCTTCTATGACCGAGCCAGTTTTTTATCCATCTTGCAAGCTCACCTCTGACCCTGTGCGACTTTACCTTCTGTATCAGTCTGCCATGAGGGACCTTGTCAAAGGCCTTACTGAAGTCCATGTAGACAACATCCACTGCCCTACCCTCATCGATCATCTTCGTCACTTCCTCAAAAAACTCAACCAAGTTAGTGAGACACGACCTCCCTTTCACAAAACCATGTTGCCTCTCGCTAATACATCCATTGATTTCCAGGTCCGAGTAAATCCTGTCTTGAAAAATCCTCTCCAATAATTTCCCTACCACTGACGTAAGGCTCACCGGCCTGTAATTAGCTGGATTATCCTTGCCACCTTTCTTAAACAAAGAAACAAGATTGGCTATTCTCCATTACTCTGGGACCTGCCCTGTAGCCAGTGAGTATACAAAGATTTTCCTCAAGGCCCCAAAGAGCATCTCCAAAGAGCGTCCCACCCAGACTCACTCCATCCCTGTAACCCTACATTTCCCATGGCCAATTCACCTAACCTGCACATCTTTGGACCGTGGAGAAAAAAAAATGAACACTGACACAGACGTGGGGAGAATGCATAAATTCCATACACTCGCAGGTGGAATTAAACCTGGGTCCTTGGTGCTGTGAGGCAGCAATGCTAACCACTGAGCCACCATGCTACCCCTGTTGGTGCTGATATGGGCAGAGATTCTAGAACTAGCATAAGTGGAAAATTGGCACTCGAATTGGTACAGATGTTGGTATGTAAGGTTATTCTGAATTGACTTCAACACAGATGATGGTTCAAGCATTGTTATGGTTGTTGGTCCTGCTATGGGTACAGACTGCTTTAAACAATATGATTACAGATGATGGTAAAGGTGGTACAGGCTGCAGAATGAGTAGAGATGCCCAACATGGCACAGGTGCTAAAACAGGTATCAATACAGATTGCTGGTACAGATATGGGTACTAATGGCAGTAATGGCATGGGTACAAATGCTGATAGAAGTATAGTTATAGATAGTGGCACTGGCATTGGACCAGATGTTTGCCCTGAAATCCATACAGTGATTGTTTGTTTGAGGTATGTGTGCAGATTCTAAAATAAGTATTGATACAGTTGGTGATAGATGTTAATACAGAAGCTGGTATAGATATTAGCATTAGTGTTCATACCAGTTGTCAGTATAGGAATGGCTACAGATTCTGGCTATTAATATTAGAAACAGAAATGCCCTGGTGTTGACACCGTCATTGGTGTAAGTGCTGGACAGAGATATGTGCAGATGCTGGTGTTTTGCTGAATGCTATAGAGATGTTTATGGGAAAATAGATGCCATATTTAAAGTGGAAGCATGGCTTCAATTACATTTTCCAGTGTTTTAAATTCTTGTGGTATAAAATCCTGGAGTCATTCCAGCCTGCTTTTGATCCACAAACTCTTGCAACAGATGGGTCTAAACGCTTTCTCCTGTTAATGTCATTTACAAATTGGACTCATACTGCACGAGAGCTGGAACCTGTTATGGTTGTCATATAAGTAAAATCTTGATTCACTCAGTGAATGTTATCATATTAAATTGGATCAGCCACAATTAAAGGCACAAGTCAGAATTGTTATAGAAATCCTCCACTTGCTGCATCAACTCTCAGGAAGCTCAACACCATCCAGGACAAAGCAGCCCACTTAATTGGCACCATGCTTACTCCCTCCACCAACAATGCAGCAGTGTGTATTGTCTACAAGATGCATTGCAGTATCTCACCCAGGATCCAATGACAGTACCATCCAAACATCCAGCTTCTACCTCTCAAAAGACAAGGAAAACAGACACATGGGAACATCACCAACAACGAGTTCCTTGAGAAGACAAACATCAATCCTGACAATGTCATTGTTCTTCACTGTTAAATCCAGAACTCCCTTCCTAATACATTTGCACTATATTTTGCTTCCATGTCACTGCTTAGCCCTAATCTCTCACCTGAATAACTGCAACACTGAAATGGTTACACAGGCTCTCTCAGCATCCATTCAATCTCAGAACAGTTTCCATGCTATTCGTTTAAACACAAATCCTGAAATGCTTCCAAATCAATCAAACACAAAATCTTGTTCTATGACCAGTGTGCTCCTTGACAATGAAGCTGACCTGGGCCTAGGAGTGAATTCCCTATTCCAGATTCTTTACGGAATGAAATGTAGGCTTGACTGCACCGAATCCTGATTACAATTCTACTGAGTTTTAATTTGATTCTGATTCTTTTCAAATTCAGCTCTAGATCTGCTGTTGAGCATTCAGAACTGAACATAGTCTAACAGTCATTAACAAATCAAGGTGCTGAAGGAAAATCAACAATGTGGAAATGTTTTTGTCCATGCAAAGGCTCTAATTGTATTTGAACTACTCCAGTGTTCCTGCCCTCAATTTCCAATTTAACTTAATGTATTTGTGTTTCCTGTAAAAGTGCATACTTCTTAGCTCAATAATTAATTCCCATCTGCATATTTTGTCAATGTCACTTTCCTATTTCCATTCACAGTTACAATACACCAAATCCTGCAATGGCTCTGGTACAGATTTTAGGGCAGTTCTTATGATACAGGCCTCACTTGACCAAATATTGTGTTAGATTGCTCTAAGGTCAGTCCATGATGTGTTCTGGTTTGATTTAGTTCAAGGCTCACTCATCATATTTACTGGAGCTGGATTTTGATAACGCTGATACTTCACATCCAGCCAACTCCTGTTCCACATCCATCCTATACTCACAGCTCATCACCTTCTAAGTTAAACCCCACCTTGATGCTCACCCTTCTCAACCCAGAATTAAAGCCACAATAAAAATGCAGTTGGACAAAATGTAGATCAATGCTTAGGAGCAAAACACATAAAATTCCTGATGAATAAAGTTCAAATTCATTCATAAAAACAAAAAGAGCTTGCATTGATGTAGCACCTTACACAACTTCAAGATGTCCCTAAGTGTTTTCCAGCTATGAAGTATTTTTGAGGTGTAACATAGGAAACATTTTTGTAACGTAGGAAACACAGCAGTAAAGGGTACGCACAGCAAGCTCCCTGAAACAGCAATATGACAATTGACCAAAAACCTGCTTTGGTGACTACATACTAGCTAGGATACAGTGAGAACTCCCCTGTTCTTCTAATAATGCTGTGGGATCTTCTTTGCTCTTCACAGAGGTCGAACAGAGCCTCGAATTAGTGTATCACCCTCTGACTGTGCAGCACAGCTGGATTCAGACCTCTAGTTTATACACTGGAGAGATCACTATCAAGTGACATGGGTAGCCCAACTTCATTTGCAGATGGCTTACCCAGTATTTCAATCTCAACTGCCACCAACAGCTGCCAACTAAGTTCAGTCATGCCAGGCTACCTCCACATACCTTGAACACAGTCTGGCCCACATTAGATCGAATTTTAGCAATTTAATCACAATAGTATAAACAAACCCTTTGCTCAGACTCACCATGTTAACTTCAGAGATCATGTCTATGCTGGCTATATGAATACTCATCCCCACTGTAACTGGAGACCCTGGTGAGAGAAGAGAAAGTACAAACCGTGTTTAATTGGTCTCGCATTTACTCCTTACAACCTCTCCTTAAACATACATAATAGGGGTGCTCTCTTTAAATAGCTTGCACTCTGAAGATAGACACCTACTTTAAACTGTCCGAATGATGAGGCTGTTCCCACATTAGTTCATGGTGAAGAAAATAATTCAACTAAATGAAACCCGACCCAAGCAAAAGAAATGAGTGAGAGATCTGAAGCTTCCACTTGAAGCTTACTGTAGGACAGAAAAGTCCTCATGATAAGAGAGAATTAAAGTTTTGAGTGACAGATGGAGTTAGGAACCTAGAACGGGAGGGAGGCACTCATTCCCTCGAGCCTGTTCTATTACTCAATTCAGTCATTTCTGGGCTGTATTAGAGCTCCATCCATCCACCTCAAAAACCTTGTCTACTAAAATCTAACAATCCGAGTGTTAAAATTTTCAGTTGACCTCCAGCATCAATGGCTTGCTGGGGAATAGCAGTTTGGATGTGTGCATTACCCTTTGGCTTGAGAAGTTCTTCCTGATACTATCGCTGGAGGGTCGGGTCGGAATTATAAGGTTCTGTCCCAATGTGCAACCCCAGCCCTCAATGCTTGGAATTCTCCCACCAGCAGAGATTGTCTCCATCTAATTCTTTAATCTTCTCAATCAGGTCATCCATTGATCTTCAATATTCTCTCAAACATAAGCCTGCTTCATGCAATCTGTTCTCGGAATGTTCAATGGAGCTATTCAACCTTTGACAATATTCTGTTCCTGTGATAACATTAATTGCTGATATTCAGTGTTGAGAATAATTTGAAATACCTCCAAAATCGGGTCTAAGGCGAATGTCATATCCTCTGAGCAATCTGTCAACTGTTCTTTTAACCAGGGAAATGTTACCGAGTCCATTGACACTGAGAGAGAAACAGAGGCAGGCATCAGTCAGTACATGCCTAGACATTAACAGTCCATTGACACTGAGAGAGAAGCAGAGGCTGATACCAGTTTGTACAGGCCGAGGCATTTACAAGTGCCTATCTCTCAAGCCCCTGTTCCCTCGCCTACCACCAGCCCTGTGCTCAAATGGGGAGGTCCTGGGACGGAGAGGGTGGTATACTTGGCGTCTCGGACCTTGATGTCCCATGGAAGGTGGTGTGGCTGGTTCGGGTGCCAACGTGCAGATGAGTGATTGGGCAAGATTGTGGGGCCTGGAAGAGCAGAGTCACTGGTCCTCCAACAAAACCGTCAAGCCCCACGGTCCAACAGTGCACATTTGACAGATGGCCTTTTGAGCATCAAAAGACAACCAGCACCCCTAAAACATAACCAGTACTTCCAATGGTCAAATGAATGCACAGAGATTATATGGTCATAGAGTCAAACAGCACAGAACATCTAGTCCAAAACGACCACCCCCAGCAAACAACAGCATAGAGCACTGTGCCCACACCTACCTGACAATGCACGAATGCATTATGAGTGGTGTAAACAGAACGCAATGATTCAGCCCCAGTTTACAGAGCAGTGCAGACGCACACGGACAGTTAATATGTGCCTGTGTGTCTTCCTCTTGCTTTATGTCTCCCCTTATATAAAAGCAGCCCTGCGAGTGACTGCTGAAGATTGAATATGTTAAACGCATTTGATTTCCGATCGAGAAGAAGAGAAGCCACAATTTGGACACAGTAGAGATGGACGAAAGCAGATCCATCCATCTACGCTTTCGGTCTCAGGTGTTATCTGGAGAGACAGGACTGAGAACGTGCTATACTGAGCATTGAGAGGAGCCAGTAAATACATTGTCAAATCACGTTTCGCCAGAGAAGCCTACCTTGGATTCAGAAAGAGAGAGAGACTAAAAAATCCTTACCTTTGTAGCCAGCACATGACAGACAGACCTGTGAGAAACGAGTAAAAACCAGACATTCGTTCTTCGTGGAGTCTCCACATTTTAGGGTCCCCAGGTTCAGTTCATTTACACGGTGACCTCCGGCTCACAGCCAGGGATGGGCGAAGCACAAGCATACACAAACACACACACACACAATTTCACAACAAGCGCCGGAATCCGAGGGGCAGCTCAGGGTGGCAGGCCAGCAGAGGCAGTGTCCGTGGCCCGGGCATGCAGCCGGACTGAGTGAGTGGAGGATGGTTCATGGGGCGAGCTGCGATGGGAGTTTGCTGCTGCTGCCGCCGCTGCAGTGTTCTCTCTCTCTCTCTAGACTGAAAGCTGCAGCTCCTGCATTCTTCCAGATCAGCTGGCTCTTCCAGTTCTTCCCCCCACCCCCCCCACCACCTCCTCTCCACTTCACTCAGGGGCAATTGATGTTGACGAGGGATTTTTCTTCTGGAGCTTGTCGCCAAGGGGAGGGGGCAGGATTAGCTGGAAATGGGAGGGAGGAAGGAAGGGTGGGGGAATTCCTAATCCCAGAAAAGGACATTTGTCAAAGACTGCTCCTGACGTCAGAATTGCCTCCTAACACTGTCTTTGCCTCCAGTGCCAACCATCATAGAGAGAGCTGGGAACAGATGTATTCAAATGTGATCTGAAGATGTGGACAGCACCATCCCAGTCAGTAGGCTGGCACTCACCCCAACCCCCGATGCCCCACTTGGAACCAGCCAGGTACAGGATGCTTGCTGTGTGTTTTACAGTATGTCCACAGCCTCTGCACTGTTTCACAATGAGGAGAATAAAGTCACTCCTGCAGACACAGCAGTTGTCTCCCCCAAAAACATTTGAAAATGTTGTATCTCCATGACATCACGGGTGTATGTCCACTTTAAAATGCTTATCAGAGAGGAGAACCCATCGAGAGAGAGAGACTGTGTCACAGGGCCCTCTCTGCCACTGACACACACACGTCATTGAGTGGTTACAGCCCAGAAGGAGACCACTCAGCCCATCATCTCTGTGTCTGCTCTCTGCAAGATCAGTTCACTTCCTACCACTCCCCACCTCCTTTTTGCTCTGGTTTATTTTTTCATTTCAGATTATTATTCAATATTCCTTTTGAAAACCTCAATTGAAATGGCACATTCTTGAGTAATGCATACTAGATCCCAACCACTCACTGCATGAAAATGTTTCTTCTAGAGTCTCCATTGTTTCACTTGCCAATCATTGTAAATCTGTCTCATCTGGTTCTGATTTCTTCACCAGTAGGAACAGTGTCTCTCTATCCACTCTCACCAGGCCTCACGTGATTTTTGAACACCTCGATCAAATCTCCTCTCAACCTTTCCTTCTGTCAGGAGAACCGTCCCATTTTCTCCAATTTACCTCTGACAGAATGTCCTCATCCCCGGAATCATTCTCATGAACCTGCACCCTCTCTATTCCTTTCGCATTCATCCTAAAGTGTTATGTCTAGAACAATACTCCAGTGTTTTATATAAACTAAACAGATCTTACTTGCTTTTGTAGTCTCTGCCCTGACTGATAAATCTGAGGGTCCTATGTGCTTTATTAATGGCTTTGTCAACCTGTTCTTCACCTTCAATATTTCTGTGCAAAAAGCCTCAGGTCTCTCTGCTCCTGCAGCTCCTTTAGAACTGTGTTCTTTATTTAAATTTGTTGCTCTGTGTTCTTCCTGCTAAAATAAATTAGTTTTCACTTCTCTGTATGAAATTTCATTTGCCACGTAACTGCCCATTTCACAAAATTGTTGAAGTCAAGGATAAGCTGAGTGATAGGTAAATGCATGGCAGATGAAGTATGATGTAGATAAATGGAAGGTTGTCCATTTTGGTAGCAAAAACAGATTATCATCTGAATGGAGATAGATTGGGAAAGGGGAGATGTGCAAGGACCTGATGTCCTTGTACACTAAGTCACTGAAAGTAAGCATGCAGATGCATCAGGCAGTAAAGAAGGCAAATATTATGTTGTCCTTCATAGCAAGAGAATTCGAGTAAAGTATCAGGGTTGTTGTGCTGCAATTGTAGAGGGCCCTGGTGTGACTACTAAAATAAAACAAAGAACTCTGGTTGCTGGAGAATTGGGTCTATGTTCTCTGGAGTTAAGAAGAATAAGAAGTGATCTTGTTGAAATATACAAAATTCTGCAGGATGTGTGACGGGGAGGACAGGAGTCACTGACTATATGTAGAGTGGGTGACCAAGTTCAACATGATCATGGATGGTCTTGATTAACGCAAGATAAAAGCATTGTGAATCCTGGTGGGATAACAGGAATTCACCAACATGACAGTCCAAGAACAGTCATACACTAAGTGAGTGTTTGAAAAGTGGAACCTGTCATGGTTCTTGGACAGAGATAGTAGGAACTGCAGATGCTGGAGAATCCGAGACAACAAGG